GAATGCGATCACCTACATCTGGTCTGTGACCAGTGTAGGTTTCGCCATGTGACCTGGGCGAACGGTCATGCCGCGTACATCGGGCAAGGCAGCCGGGACTCCGAGGACGCGATCGAGATCGCCGGCTGGAGGGACTGGACCAATCCATCCCATTTCGAAGCTGCCACCGGCTCGACCTCCGTTGCCGCTGTCTTCCAAGTCCTCGGCGTCTCAACCCAGCAGGCCCGAGACCTCATCCGGGAGCACTTGTCCCAAACCCAAGCAACCAATACCAACAGAGCTCCCTCCACTCCGTCTGAGACGGCCTTGGTCCCCGTCCCACTCTCCTGCGTGTGGCCGTACCCCGGTTTTGACAGTGCGCCAACCGGATCAAGCTATGGAGGAGGACCTGTTGGACCTGGTTGCAGATCATTCGGAAGCACTGGTGCAATTGTTTTTGCCACAATGGTGTGCAAACATGCCAGGATGTGTTTGGTATTTGGTCGCATGGGGATGAATTGGTGGCTGAGCTGGAACGTCTTCAGGGCCCCCTGGATGCCGAAGAAGCTTTTCAGTTAGCGCCTTATGGACGCTCGCAGCTCGCAGGGCCCATGACCACATTCGTCGCGTGGCCCGGGCCGTAGCAGGGAACCGCTTGCCGGTCGTGGAGACTACATCCATGGTGGTGACACCTGCGGGGGCTGGACCTCGTGGCCATGTTCGGCAGCTCCTGGCGACAGGGTTCCCAGGGCGGCCGCCTATGCTGTTGGCTGCGGTGGCCTCTGACCCGCGCACTAAGGGAGAGGCCAAGCGGGCCACCAAGACCCAGGCCCTCTTCGACATCCTCCTGAGCGAGTTCCTGAACCTCGAGGAGCTTGGTGTGACTTGGGGGGAGTTGGGTGACCCCGTACGGCTCCAGCAACTGAAAGACCAAATCATGCAGGGCACTGGGCACCTTACAGAGGCTCGGCTTGGGGCCCTCCTTGCCGCTTTGCGCCGCTGGCATCGGTATGCCTCTACAAAGGCATATCCTGTTGCCAAGCCAACCCCTCTGCAGCTAGGGGAGTTCCTACGTGCAGTTGCTCAAGGGGGCCGTACTGCAGCATCATCTATGTTCCAAGCCTTGCAGTGGCTTCGGGTTGCCGTTGGCCTCCACTTCAACATGGACCACTGGCTCACTCAGCCTTTCCGGTTGCTCCCCCCGACCATCGGGTGCAGTTGAGGACGGAATTGCAACCTTGGGAGCTGGTGAACCTTTTATTGATGATGCGGATGGCCTCCGGTACAAACTTGTTGATTTTTGCATTTTTCGTCTGGGATCACATAAACTACAGAAGGAGGGTTCCGGGCATCTCAAGAAGATTACATAAAAGACAAGGAGGGGGTTGCTGAAGGAAAAGGAGTGAAAGTAGCGATGGCAAAGGAAGCAGCTCCGCAACCAGAAGATCCTACTCCAGAACTGGTCAATCAGGCTCAAAAATTGGTAGGTGAGTTGATGTGGCTCTCAACTCGCACGAGGCCTGATGTTGCTTTTGCGACTAGCCGCTGTGCCCAAGAGATCTTGAGCCATCCTACCTGGGTCATTGACAAGCCACACAAGTCTGGAAGTACCTCAAAAACACGTCAAATGAAGGCTTGGAATTCCGACCCTCGAAAGGTGAAGGATGGGATGGTGGCCAGAGGGCTTTGGAGGTCTACACTGACTCCAGCTTTGCGGCAACGCCTGAAACCCAGGCCTCGCATGGTGCTGCGATGGTGCTATGGAATGGGGCTTCGACGTTTTGGAAGAGCGGTCGTCAGCCTTTTCCAGCACTTTCTACCGCAGAGTCAGAGCTCCTGGAAGCCATTGAGGGCCTTCAAACAGGTGATGCGGTGGTCAGCATGATCCAAGAACACAAAGAGCCGTACGTCAAGACGCTCTTCGTTGACAACCTGGCTGCCACGGGCTTCTTTTCCGATGGTCATGCGAACTGGCGAACACGCCACCTTCGGCTTCGAGCTCAACATGTCCGTTGGCGAATTACCAACTTGGACTGGAGGGTGAGGCGCCTATGTGGGGTCATCATGATTGCAGACCTGGGTACAAAACCACTTCCTGTTCAAAGGACCCTCGAGCTTAAGGAGCTGATGTCGATGATCTTACAAAGAAAAGTGGAAGAAGAAAAGAAGAAGGAGGACGGTCCAGAGACAGCAAGAAAGGAGGAAAAGAAGGAAAACGATAAGGAGGACGGCCCACAGGCAATAAGAGGAAACCAGGAAGAGGATGAATGTCAGAAGAAGGATGATCTATGGGTGCCGAAGGTGACATCGAAACAGCTTCAGCTGGCGGTGATGATGGCTCTAATTGCTCAATCCAAGGCTCAAGGCCGAGATGAACATCCGCAGCAGCCTGATTCCTGATGATGGTCCCTTTCGTGTCCTGATGATCAGCTACACTTTGCTCATCATCCTGATCACCTTGTTTCTGAGGCAGATTATTGGCTGGCTTTTTGCACCAACGAATCATGGTGCACTCCGCCGGCGATACAAGGACCTCCTGGAAGCACCAGCTCAGAGCCGTCCCAAGGGAGCTCGATCTCCGTTGACTGGCGAGGTCGCGAGGTGAACCGACCAAGTGCAAGATCAAAAGGGAAGAGAAAAGGAAAGGGACAAGGAAAGACTGAAGAAACAGAAATTGATTGGGCCTATGGGGCATCAAGGCCTATGACCCAAGAGGAACGAAGCCAATTCGGCTTGCAGAACCGTGAAGGGCTCATTAGATGGATGGCATCCCTTTCGCCGCAGGAAAGGATCATGGCAGGCATTGAACCGCCGCCGCCGGTGTCATCAGGATCCTCAAGACCGGCACCAATGGACACAGCCACTACAGATCCCAACCTCACGGGGATTCAGGAGGAGCCAGAACAGGAAGTCCCAGCTGATGAAGAAGTCGAAATGGCCCCGGAAGTTGAAGGTCAAGAAACCTTGTACTTTCCCACCGAAAGGGACTATCGGGACATAAGGGCGGATGAAAGCTGGGAACCAACACACACCCCAGGAACATCATCAGCTGCTCCCAAGGCTTTTCCAAAGAAGTTTTCAGCAGCTGAAGTTGGTCTTCCTGAGGAAGGAAAAGGAAAAGGAAAGAACTTCAAATATATGGGTGTGTTCATCACCAAGTTCGGACAGCGCTATCATGTCTTCAGGACATGTCAGACACTGACCTCATCCACCTTGAGGAGCTCACCACCATGTCACAAGTGCGCCTACACCAGCGAGATGAGCCGAGTCAGAAGGGTAGAGCCACTGTGGTCAAAAGGCTGGGGCGAAGTTTACTACAGGAATGCTCCATCCCCTTTGCCATGCTCAACTGGTGGAGAGCGAAAGTATGACATTTGCACTTTGTGCGAACGTGAGCTCCGATTTGTGAAGATGACGGAATGAAGTTGAAGAAAGGGTGGCGGTTGATTCTCGCTACCTCTATGGCCATTTTGGCCTGGGCCGGTACGGCTCATAACAGTGACGGCTGAAAACCTTGGTTGGAGCGGGTGGGATACAATGCATTGTATGGTTCCTCGCTTCATAGCCTGCGGGGCTGCTGCTGTGAAGCTTTGATAGCAGGTCAGTTGACCATGGTCTACCGCTGGCTGAATGTTTTGTGTGGCTGTACACAACGAAAGTTGTTTTACAATGTTAGGGGACATTGTTGTCGCCGCATGGGCTTCTGCTGGAATGAAAGGAAAGTTGATCTGGCAGCGCAAGACTCTGCCATCACAAACCCCTTGAGTCAGGTGTGACCGCTGCCGACTGTGGAACACTCTTCACACGCTGGAAGAAGGATTTATATCTGGAGGTTGGCTGCGGCTTGGAAGTTTTCAGTGCCTTTAAGAAAGGCAGGGGGAGTGTTGAAACTCCAACATGCAGTTCAAGCATGCGGCATTTGAGAGTTTGCCGCAGCCCTTTTAAAGAAGACAAGGTCCTATGATATGGATGTTGAAGGGTCACGAAAGATCCAATCAGAGCAGCAGAAAAAGAAAGTTCCGCTGTTTTTCTCGGGAGTTTGGAAAGCAGTTGATTTTGTTGGGGTGAGGACCATGCCCCGTGAAACTCATGAGAGACCCTTGCATCAACAGTTTCGACTGATTCCAGCCAATTAGAGAATGGTGCGGCGCTTCATTGAATGCGTTTTTTCCGACTTGTCAGGTGAGGGTCTCTTCCCTCCTTCCGGTTTATTTCGTGTAGGAGAACGGAGTTGAGTTGAGTTTTGAGTTCACGTTGAAGGTTTGTTTGCAGGAAGGTGTTTGCAATGGATGAGCCGTGTTCCAAGTATGAAGTATGTCGCGTTGAAATTTTCATTTAATTCTAGATTCTGATTTTATATAGATCGAGTGGCTGTGCGGTCACCTTTCCAAGTGTGTGTGTGTGTGTGCAAATGTTTTGCGGTCAGTGTTTGGGTTGCGGGGTCACTCGAAGTAGAGTAACTTTGTTAATCCTTCCTCGGAAGAAATGATCCCGTCCTGCAGTAGGATGTCCCAGACTTTGCCCAAGGAGTTGGCAAGATCCACCGTGGAAGTGGCAGTGCGCAGTGAACTGGCAAATCAAACGGAGGTTGTATCTGATACAGCAACCCCAGCTATATACTTGGCCTTGATGGCCTTGATGTTGATGCCATGGTTTGCGGATGTTTGCGGCAAGGGGGTCATTGATGACTTTTGCGGATTTGGTCTTTGCCATAGATATGTACAGGCTGTACAGGATTCTTTTTGCATCCCTTGTTCGCTCCCCAGACTTGGATCACTATATAAATGTTTTGCAGGACGAGTTCTGTTCCAAATTCGCAAAGTTCGTAGAATTCGTTTGCAAGGCTCTCCAAATTTGTACAATGTTATCTCTCGCGTTGGTGTTGATTGAGGTCTCCGTGGGCGTGCTCAGCTACTCAGTGGCCCATGACGCAGAGGCGGCACTCCTCTCCTCTCACACCGCGTTATCGCACAAGAGCTGGCGAATGCACCCCAGGTTGTAGAGCCACAGCAGCCGGAGAGGCCAGAGCAAGGCCAGCGGAGCGGCCAACGGAGCGGCCAGTGGAGCGGCCAGCCGAGCGGCCAGTGGAGCGGCCAGTGGAGCGGCCAGCGGAGCGGCCAGCTGAGGAGCGGCCGGAGCAACAGCGTCCAGAGGTGCCAGAGCAGCTGGTGGGACCTGCAGGTGCGGGATGAAAGACGGGGGGGAAATAACCACTATAGGCAGCAGAAAATGCTCAGATGTTGCGCAGCATGGATTAGGACTAGGATCTATTTTCGATATTTATCCTACATGCTGCCATTGCCAATGTACCTGTTATCAGCTCCTCCATCTCCAAAGGGTACAGAAAACAAATCAGAATGGGAACTCTCTTCATTAATTTTCATGTTAATTCAATCTATTTCATGTCCTCACTTCAGCGCATGGACAACTTGACACCACACACACATTGCTGAGGTAAGGACCAAACAAACGTGGAAGCGACTCCGGGCCAAGCGAACGTCCACCCCACTGTCCCTAGACCGTGGCATTGCTGTGCCTATAGTGCCATGGCACCCGGAGGTTCTACAGAGTTTCCACGAGTTTCCTGAATTCTTCACAGGTTCCACGAAGACGGTGGGATTTGTTCCATCTACTG